TTTCCCCCCCCCCCAATTTCCCATTTTTTTCTTTTTTTTTAGGGGGGGGGTTCCCCCCCCCCCCCCCCCCCCCCCCCCCCCCCAGCTGCATGCCGCCGGAATACATATATCCAACACCTCAGTGCCGTGTGGCACTGAAGGTGAAGAAGTACAGTAGCTGGCATGGACCATGCGATGCGAACCCAGTGCTTGGCCGTTGCTTACGCTTCGTGCGTTTCCCAACTGTCCGTTTCTTCTGCTCATGTTTTTTTTTATACAGCGGCGGACGCACTGACGCGTCGCAGTAACCCGGATAGAAACAGCAGCACCAATCAGCGTTCGCGCACCGCTTCTTCGATCGGCGGCGCTTCGTCCAATGAGACCGGCAACGGTAGCGGCGGCACTGCTCAAGCGGCAGCGGCGGCGGTGCCGACATCGGGACTGGAGTTCGCTGTGCGGCACCTCCTCGCAACCCGGCAGGTGAGAATGAGAGAGACAGAGACAGAGATAGAGACAGAGACAGACAGGCAGAGACAGAGACAGAGACTGAGACAGAGAGAGACAGAGAGAGAGAGACAGAGAGGGAGACAGGCAGACAGGCAGACAGGCAGACAGCGAGGAGGTCTTCACACAATTTCACCTTATTCTTTGGTGTTTTTTAGACGCCATGTTTTGTAGACTCACCAGCCGGGGTCACCCCAGTTCCACACGACTTACAGAAGCGAAGCAATCGTTTGTCTCTTAATTTCCGTGTTCAACGTAACGTACTCATCGCGTTACCTTAGTCCAGTCCCACTGCCTGTCCATCGGTGCCCGTCGACCGTAGATGTCCGTTTTGCGTACATGCATGCCAAGGTGCAACGCGCGAAGTACATGGGAACGGGTGGCTCTGGCTAACCGTGCGCCCACTCCTTTACACCCCTCCCTCTTAACGCCTCTCCTGTCGTATTTTGGAACTAAATCTGAAAAATGTATACGCAACGAGTACCCCCTGTCCCTCGCTCTGCGTTTCCCCCTGTGTCACGTGTTGACTTCCAACACGATTTTTGGGCAGGCGTCACGAGAGACTCTAGGAAATGGAGGACAGGCGGCCATTCACCCCCCTCTCTTTCTCTAGAAAAATGGGGCTATATATTTGCTTCTAGCTCTTTTTGCAGCTTTCTCTCTTCTTTTCTCGAGTGTTTTTTGGGTGCCGACCGCGTTTCGGTGACAAACAAACGTGTCCTTTCCATATGCCAGCCTTGCTTCGTAATTTTCTTTTGCTTTTGGTTCTCGGGATAGTGCCCACGTGGGCGGGTGCGCTTACATGGCAATGGTTCAATAACAGGGAAGACAACGTTTTGGAGAGCGATCTATCTCACCGTCCCCGTGACGGCCTTGTTGCTTCACGGGGACGGTGAGATGTACATATGGAAGTGCTACCGCCGGAATCTAGAGGGTTTGTCAAGCACCTTTGCTTCTTGGCGGGAGAAAGCGTGGGCTCGAATCTTGACAGGAAGGCTTGCTCAAGAGTCTGTTTCACCTTGAAAGTGTGTGCTCGGAAGCGTGTTGCAGCCACTCAGTCGGCCCGTTTGTTTTTAAGCAGCATTCGAAGTGTAAGCAGGAGTCAGTCCCGTTGAACCTTAGAACGTGTTTGAAGCAACTCAGTGTGTTGAACCTTGGAAAGGTGGCCATGTACCCTCGAGTGCGTCTTGGCAGCAGCACCCAGGGCGGTCGTGGGCGGGCGCTCATGCTTTTTGTAACGGTGCTCGCAACGCGTTGCTCGCCGTCTGGACTGTTGCGGTATTGATCAAGAGGTGGCCGACGAAAAATGACGCATAGATAGCTATTCCATTTGCGTAGGTGGGCTATTTACACGGGTGCGTGCGTCGAGCTGCTATGCGTTATCGCAAAGTGATACCGTTTTCATCGTGGTTGCAGGAGTAGGGCAGGCGGTTCGCACGATAGGGAGGAGAGGAGAGGGAGGGGCCTGTGGTTGGGTGGTCGTCTCGAGATTATTCACGTGTAGTCAAGAAGAAGGTTGACCTAGACAACAGCACACAACAAGATGGGAAAAAGCGGCAGCAGGCAGCAGTTTCGTTGTCAAACCTCTCTTTGTCCTCACAGAAAGCAACGTCAAGTGTTGGGGGGGGGGGGGGTGGAGAGGCTAACATGTCGTTTATACATATCTGCGTCTCAAGCGTTAGGATGTACGTAACAGCAGTCACGGAGTAGCCTTCTTCTCCTTAAACTTCTTGCCGTCGTCAAGAGTCCGGTGTTGTTGTGTGGTGGTTGGTATGGTGACTTATTTTTTTTGTCGGTCTAACATTTTCTTGTAAAGAGTGTTGTGTTTTTTCTCTCTCTTTTTCTCTTTTTTCGGTTTATTTTTTGCGCGAAGACGAATGAATGGATGTGGAGATGGAAGAAAATAAGGGTGTTGAGCGTTTTGCTGATGGGTGTTCAAAGCATGCATGTTAATAGGCGGGAGTTAGGGGGGCACGCATGTGTCTATTTTGCCGCAACAGGGGGGGGGGGTCAAATTTTGTTACAACGATGTAGCAGACTGCACACCGGGGCTCGTCCGGCAAGGTACAGTTGGCGAATTATTGTTGGGCTTGTTGGCTACTTATTTATTTGCACGATACGTATGTACCAGCCTCCACTTTTTTGGAGCTGACAACGCTGTAACTCGGAGATAGTAACATGGTCTCGGTCAGGAGGGGGCTTTGTTTTTGGGAATGGAGTAGAGAAAGGAATGGTTACTTATTATGAAGGGATCGATGTGCGTGGTGCCTACGACGGCTGTGGTGCTTGGTATGGGACCATTTCTAGCTGGCTGGCAGCGTCGTGTTGAATGTAGCGGTGCGGGGGGCATGTGAAGATTTGATCGTGAAAGACGATCGATGCGGTGAGGGGGTGACGGCGCCAACGCGGGGATGTCACGGTCTTGGTTAGCGTTGAAAAAATTCACAAACGTACTAATACCACCCACACCACCTGTTGCTCTGATGATGAACATCATTGTTGTTGCTGTTGTTTTGTTCTTCATCGTGGTCTTCTACACACACACACAGTTGCATGCCACGACCCTGTACAAGACAGACGTTTGTATTGATTTTCTGCTCCTTTCTTTATTGGTGCGAAAAAACATCGATGGAATTGACAGCAACCATACGAGAAAAACGAAGAGGGGGGAGAAAGAGAGCACCACCGCGAGAGTTTTGTTGATGGAGGGAGTGGCTGTGGCGCCGGAGCAGTTCGCGGGAGGGAATGAACGGCGATAATCGTACCTACTCCGCAGGGGCGGGGGGGGGGGGAGTCACTACAAAACGCGTGCAACGAAAGGGTCGAGTCGAGAACAAACTACACCATGCACCCAACAAGCAAGGAAGGGCCAACCGTTGGTCGAGGCGCGGAAACATAGGTCGAAGAAGTAACGACAGGAGAAACACCGGTGGCACTCAATCACGCGACGCCGAGGGTTATTAGAGACAAGACACGGTTCGGACGGTTCACTTGGACCACACGTACGTGCTTCTTGAAACATCGTTGATCAGGCCGCATAATAAGCACAACATGCGAGCTACGACGTGCTCAGGTAACGACAGTGAGTGCTACTTTTTTGCCGTCCGCGTACGCACGGGAGTATTTCAAACCAGCGCCGTCGGAGAAAGAAAGCGGACAAGAGGCTTGGCGGTACCGTTCAAGGTTCAGCCTATAGATGGATCTTTCTTCATCACTCCGGCCGCTATAATGGTGGCGTCGCGATGGACGATAGGTCCTCACCGCGCCGACAAAACCGGGAAAGTCAGAGATGATGAAACGGCGTCATCATCATCGTGCCACACCTTTTGGCCTACGATGTGTTTGTCACCGCTTTATACTTTTCAATTTTCGTCAGGAAAGGTCATCCATTCCCCGCCTTCAAAGGCGCTTCGACTGCAAGACTTACGGTACACCCAAACGAACTACGTTCGTTCTCGTCGGGGAGAACAGAAGAAGGGCATCGAAAAACGTGTCGCACGTGACCAATATCCTCATATATAACCGCCCTCTGTTGCTACCCAGTTCTGCACGCTGTCCGCAACAACAAACTGTGGTGCTAACAGACGAACCGCTGCTATGTATACAAGCACCGAACCATCCACCCTCAACTTAAGCTCAGAAGCGAGGAGAAAAGTAAGGACATCATCATGATCCTTCCATCCGGCCACACTCTATTTCCAAATCAACCTCCTTACATCCCTGCAGCGTATTTTTCTTGCCCGTACATAGTGGTCTTACGTAGCCTACAGCCAGAGGCATGACCGACCGTAAAAAGATCTACCATGTACTCTCGCCTCCTCAGAGAACTAGAAAAACCCTAACGTCGGGTATGCGCAACGTCAAAGCGCATTTCCCACCACTTCCGATTAAACCTAGCCGCTCTTCGGGCTGGCCATGTTTCGACAAACGGTATGACGGGCCACCCGCTCGTTCAATCCGCACGTATGCGTACATACATACGCGACGCTCGATCGATCTTTCGTTCAAAAACCGACACCACAATATTTGCATGCATGTGTCAAATCAAATCAAATCAAATCAACCAAAGAGTGTGTGCATCCTTTGTCCACACCGTAATAATTCTACATAGTGCGAACCTGACCTACACTATTTCACAAGTAACTACAGCTCGATTTTTGTACGGTTTTGATGGCGCGGCGGCGGCAGCGTTTACTTCCCAGCACCGCCACCACCACCCAAGTTGCCCATGACGCTTTCGGCAGCGCCCTTGATGTCACCCTTGTCGAGCGCGGCCTTGGCCTCGGCGACGCCCTTCTCGCCGAGGCTCTCGATCGTTGCCTTGGCCTTGTCCATGTCCTGCATGCCGCCCGCCAGAAGGCAAACACGAGACGAGGGAATGCAAGTCAGAAACAGAAGGGTTGTCCTAGACGAGCAGGTTTTCATCGTTACGCCGACACTGAGACAGGCGCTTGTTCCTGCCACACGCACACACAGGTAAGTCCGTTGGGTTGTTTCGAAAACAAATTATCCGCCCTTCCCGCCCCCCCCACCCATCCGTCCGTGTACTTTTACCGACAAACCAAAAAATGGCGGGTAAAATGGATTGCATCGCGAGCTTGATCAACTTGCTCCGCGGGAAAGTGCCTTCAACAGCGAGGTGCGTCATCATTTGACCGACCACACAAGCCTTGGCAGGCGTTGTTGGAGTACAAAAGGGGGGGGTTGAACGGACCTGCCGCCTGAATGAACTTGAAGTACAAAAACTTGAGATGAGCCCCTGCTACAGCAGTAGCTTTGAATACAGACCAGTACGGAGTGGCGAAGCACGGCTACCTAGGCACTTGCTCCCGACGATACACGACATCAGTTTATTACTTCTATAATATAATACATGCGGGGCTGCCGCCGCCGCCGCCGCCGCCGCCGCCGCTGCTGCTGCTGTTATTATTAGTATGCCGTCGAGGCGGTGAAACATTTGGTTGGGGAGCCGCGCAGGGAATCATTCAACACGCGGTCGGCTTTTATAACAACGCAAGCGTGTTGAACAACGCAGTAACCGATGAGAAGGTGGGTGGATAGGGCGGTCACGGCGACACTGTCTGTCTGGTTTTCGGCGTGAGACGCGATGCAGTGTGTAGAGGGAGAGCGTCGGCCACAGAGGAAAAAGAAGAATCCGAGAAGATTTGACCGTTGTAGCCTGCACACTCGACATTCGAAACCGTACGGTCGCCTCGCCCGGCCTCATCTCTGAAGTAGTCTGAACCTCATCTCCGCCATGACACCACACTGGAAGAAATACAGGACAGGGGCTTTGAGCTAGGGATCTGTACCCACGTCTTCCTTCATCTAGCAGAAGGATCGCAATTGATCATCAGTTGAACTTGCTTCTCGAATCCACACATACATGTGGCACATGATGATGGCGGTGTACGCCGCGCTACAGCAGCAGTATATCTTTCCGCGCAATCCTCCTGTCTGTGTGTACACAACAAGATAGCGCCAACGGACACCGTAGCCCAGAGACAATCACGTGTGCTTCCGCAGCTAGCTGCGGATTACGCGAGAGACTCACCACGCCAGCGAGAGGGTTCCCGCCCCCTTCCGTCTTGCCCCCCTCCTTACCGCCGCCAAGCGCTGCCTGGGCCTTCGCAGCGATATCTTGGACACCCTCCTCACCCATGTTGCTGATTGCCTTCTTTGCGTCTTCCATGTTGGTGAGGTTGTCGAGGACTCTAGAGTTTGATAGCAGCGTTAGTTGATTGTTGGTGGTGGGCGTTGTGGGAGATGGTGGGGGGGGGCGGGGGGGCGGGTGTGTGCGTGCGAAAAGGCAGCTGTTGTTGTTGCCGTTGATGCTGGCGGGGAAGAAAGTGAGAAAAATCCGTGGAACGAAAAAGCCTCCTCTTCTTGTTGAGGTCACACTCGAAAAAAAAAAAAAGATTTCTGTCTTCGACGAGCGGTTGGGACGGGCGTTGTTCTTATGAGTGCTACCCCGGCCACGTAGATGCTGACCTATACCTTAGTAGGTGATGTCAGGCGTACGGTTCTCACACCACACGCATGTACATGATGAATTATTGCTAGAACAAATTTGCGCCAACGATCCAAGCGACTGATGGAGAAAAGATTCAATAGATCGACTCACCCGTGACGATCGCCGACTACCAGTACATACACATCACTGCAAATCACTGCTGTAATTACATGCACAACGACAGCATAAATGGTCGATTACCGCATCTTCACGGGTTCTTGTCCTGTCCAGGGCTTTGTACGTGTGAAGGGCGCTTGTTTTTGAATTGAGGATACGCTCGTTGGTCACCGGATCTCTCGCTCCCTCGGCGAAGCTCCATTTGGCCAAAAACAGAGGTTCAAAGTGGTCATGATACAAAACATCGATGATGCGGGTCGCCGGGCCCTGACGTGAGAAGAACGCGTCAGAAATAACGGCAACCGCCACTCACGTCTGTAGTCAATTGGGGAATTTCTGCATCAACCACTGGTCCATGTATGCAAGTGCCACTCAACAAGGCCCCTCTCTTCTTTCTCCATCAAGTGGGTTTCCCGTTGTGTGTTGGGGCTGTTGCTGTGTAGGGATACCCATGTGATGGTCGCTTATTATGTAGCTACATGGTGAAAGGCCACAGCACACACTTGGCTATCTATGGTTGGCGGAAGCCTCTACGTCTGAGGCCCTTTCCGTTTTGCTTCGCTGCTTCATCTAATCCAAATGGACTCAACAGCAGTGTTTCAATGAACCGAAGCATCTCGACAAAAGCCCCATGACTTGATAGATACAGCACGTAAACACGGGCGTGTGTGTGCGTGACAGGCACGATACATGGGACTCTCCTCATTCTCCTTATGTGCCATCACAACGTTCTTGTCCTTCAGTGGCATGGAAAGTGTGGGTATTCCGTACAACAAAACGTCACCAGCTATGCTTGCTGCTCCCCTTCGCACCTACTACCCCTTGAAACTGACCCGGCCAAATACTCCAAGTATACAAGACAGATGATGGCGATTTCCTACCTCCTCCACCCACAAAATCGACAGCCCCCCGCCCCCCCAACCCGGCTCCAAAAACAAAGCGACCGCGGTCCTTTTTTCCCTAGCCATGACCGCCAGCTCTAGCGAGGAAACTAAACGTATATGTATGCTATCTGGTCGCCCCAGATGGGCCTCCACCAATCACGACGTACGTACATGGCCAAAGTTCGATCCCCCACGCTGCCAGAGGCGATGCATGAGGAACAACGAGGCGCGGACAATTTTGCCCCGCTACCCCCGCGAACCCCGGTGCTTGACCCAAGGCCATGTTCCGGCGAAATCCAAAACCAAACAATGGCCGATGAGAGAGGAAGAGAGAGAGAGAGAGAGAGCGCTCGGGGTCCCCGTAAATCATACAAAACACGTTCAACAGCAGTAGCGCCCCCCCTCCTCCCTCCCTCCCTGAGAGGGCAAGCAAAAAAAAAAAAAAAGCGGTCAACACAAACAACAAGACGCAAAGCCATGTGCTGCTGCTGCTGCACACTTGCTAGCGGCGGCGCGCGGCGTGTCGCTCACGCACGTCCATGGGCGGCTGCTTGGAGGCAACCAACCCTCCAACCGCCCGCGTATGTCCGAGATGAATCAACACACCCGTCTTCGGAAGCAGAGACGGCAAGCAGCAAACCAGTACGGCCAGGACCAAAACAACCGCTCGACCGGTGGGCAAAAACCGTGCCGTGCCAATGCTTGCGGGCAATACATAGCCCACGCTAGGGTGTGCATGCCTCCGTCCAGGCACGCGTGGCACACCCCTGTGTTCAACAACAAAAAAAACAACGACACCAGATTCCCCGACACCGCCCCGCGCACAAGGCATCTTCGGCGGGGCCCCTTGCTTCCTTGCAACCCAGAACACGAGGTCGAGGGGCTCCGTGGACAGGACTGTAAGCAACACGTGTGACGCTACGCGACCCCACGTCAGGTTCCGCGCTCTCTCTCTCTTATTCCAGCTGGGGCAAAAAACAGTCTGTCGCTGCAGCACCGCCAGATGAACCAGCTCACCATCGTCGCTCGCGCTAATTGGGCCTCCCTCTGCCCCAAAACACAGGAAGTTCCGGCGACGCGCTTGGCTGCAGACACACGGGATTCCCTCCCCCCCGGCCAACCCTACAACCCCCCCCCCCCCTCCACCCTGGCAAGAGATCATCTACTTGCACGACCCCGCGCACGAAGACTTGGACCTGTTGCTGGCATCATCCCGCGCGCTCGACAGAGCGATGGTCTCCCCCTGTCGAATAAGCACGTGTCATGTCAGGGGGCGGGGAGGTGCGGACTTAGCTCAAGCGTTAAGGTGGACCGGTGCTGTTGAAGGGAGGAGGCACTAGAGGCAACCAGTCCCGCCTCTTGGCTACGGCAAATGGTTTCGACTACGAAAAGTTGTACCGAGGCCCCCGACAACGAGACCAGTTGCCCCAGAGTGTCGCTCAAAAGGTGCTCCTTCTGGTATATCCTACCGTATACGACACCAGATAACACACCCCCGTGACCGATTTTCAAAACTCGATTTCTCAACAGCAGGAAGAATCACAGCGCGAAAAACGGCGGCGTTGGGACCGTCTCGTCGAGAGCTTTCCGAAAACGTATCATTTCGTTTGTGCATCCTCTTCGTAGTGGAGTAATCGAGCTTTGAAAATCGGTCCAGGGGGTGTGTTTTCTTCTGTCATATGCGGTAACCACGGGTGGAAGAAAAATTATGGCGCTCTCTACTGCCGCCAGCCGGGCTGGATGTTGCCCCGAGTGCTTACTCTCCTCACCACGAAACTGTCTGCTGTCTACGTATCGAGGGGCTGTCGCGCGATGTCGACACTCTTGATAGTACTGAAGTACTATAATAAGTATATACCAACGAACACACAGACTGAAGAACAGGCACGAAAATCCATCATTTCCCTTCCCGGTTGCCGTTACCACAGCAGTAATGCCTGGTTCCATATCATGCTCCGATACTTCGGTTTTTGGGTGTATGCATAGCAGAGAAGGGCCTTGAAGGTCTGGTCAAGGGTTGCGTTCTTCAGGGAGACGAGGGACGTCTTCTCCATCACGCATAAATCCAAACCATCGCCAACATCACGTGAGCCACGAAACACACGCCAAACTCGGTTCCGACTGCATGCAGGGCAACCCATACAAAAAAAAATCGGACGGCAACATTCGTAGCCATGGATGAAGAATGATACAGGGTGGCGTTGTTCCCAAGACGTTTCTCCCCTTCTTGTCATTTCGGTGGATTCTTCCTTCACCAGGCTGCGAAAACTAAATCTGCATCGCCAATTAATAGGTTGATTTCACGTCCGACGGCAAAAAACAGAACTACACACCACATACCCGAGAGAGGTCAGGGCCCGTGGCGGTGTTGGCGGCTATTGTTTTCCTGCTCATCAACCGGTAGATCTCAGTGAGGATGCGTTGGAAGGCCGAGTCTACACCGCTCGCGTCCAGCGCGGAAGTCTGCACGAAGGGGCAAGCACAGACACCAGAGAGTGGGCGGATGGGTGGGTGGGAGAGATAGGCAGTCGGGAGAGCGTACATACAGGCATGAACTCGACTGGGTTTCTCATACACGAAAGGAATGGACCCGACTGTGAAAATCAGGTCTCCAATACAGACAGGCATGGACCGGCTGTGAAAATCAGGTGTCCTCACACACAGGCATGTGAATATCAGGTCCCCCGTAATCCCTGTCGATCAAGTCTTGGAACGTCCCCCGTGAAACATGTCCGTATCAGGCACAAGGAATACGGTATCTAGAACGACCAAAGGCAGAATTGCTGGAGCTAACACACAAGGAGCCGACGAGGCGCACACCAAGAAAACACAAACGGAACCCTGCAAAAAACCGACACCGGACATACTTCTCAACAGGCGACACTAGAGGAAAGGATTCTCCAGGATAGGCTGCTAATCTCAGGTACGTTCGGCCACCTCAGGCTAGACAGGACACAACGCGTGACTAGATTCCAGACATGCAAGACCACAAATGCTTGTTGTAACCAAAGCGCGCAAAAGGTCAGACCAGGTTGTCCGGGATCACGATAGAACTCGACGCACCTCTAGGAACGCGAGGTTGTGCTTCTTCGCAAACTCCATCGCCTCTTCGTGGGTCACTGTCCGCAAGTGCCTGGAGTCCAACGCAAATAACGAAATAACGAAAAGCACAAAAAACCGTCGTCGGGACAGTCAAGAGTTGGAAGTTCAAAAGTCGGGGACCTTTTCCCCGGGGAAAACCTGTTTCCGACGCAAACAACAAAAAGCACACAAAACCGTCGTCGGGACAGCCAAGAGTTAGAAATTCAAAAGTCGGGGAAAACCTTTTGTCCGCGGGAATAGGCAGGAGGGGGGGGGGGGGATGCATCTTTGAATTGTCACACTACGGATAAAAGATTCAGCTGACACGAGCATGAGCGGGGGGGGGGCTGTTATCAAGAGCAATTTGAGGCCCATGTACTGCTGTAGTGAGTACCGCCTACGTTTCCGAGTACCGCATCGATCGATAACGTGTGTACGAGCATCAGGCCAGCAGGAGTTGAACGCCAACATGTTGCTACTCGCAATGTTACTAATTGCCGATGCAAACGTATAAAAACGAAACGACCAGTGTGTTCATCTCCCACCTACACTTACACACTCGTGGGTGCCCGCATGAGGTTCGTCTGCTCGCGGGTGAGCCGCGTCTCTTTCACGCTAGCTCCTGGAAAATTCCGGGCGTTTTCTGTTTCAAAAGCCAAGCGATGTGACACCACCGCTGGAAAATTCAAAAATGCTATTGTAACGCCAGCAATACGCAGACATGCCAAAGGTACCCCAATCCAGGTTGGAACAAAACAACCAGTACACGACACATTTTCACCCCGATGAACAAAATAACAGAAGGGGGAGCAACTTGACATACTTCCAAGAGAGAAAGGAAAACAAGCCAATCAAAATTACGCGGCGCATCTTCTGCTGACCTGAGATCGCTCTTGTTACCAATGAGCATCACCACAATGTTGGCCTCCGCGTGGTCGCGCAACTCCTTCAGCCACCGCTCGACGTTCTCGAAAGTAACGTGCTTGGAGATATCGTACACCAGTAACGCGCCGACCGCCCCTCGGTAGTACGCGGAAGTGATAGCCCTGTTGATTGTTGTTGGTTGGTTGTCGTTGTGTGTGATTTTGTTATGTTTGTCCACGAATAACTCGGTGAACGGACGCGTTTCCGCCGCATCAGCGGCAGAAGCAGCACCAGCAGCAGCGGCAAGAACGTACAGCCTCACTGGTTATTTCTCTCTCTCTCTCTCTCTCTCTCTCTCTCTCTCTCTCTCTCTCTCTCTCTTCTCTCTCTCCCTCCCTCTCCCGTAAATGGCTCAATCCAACAACGCGCTGCAAAAGTGCCCCCGAAACAAAGTGTCCATCCCGACCAGATCACCCCAACAACTCAAGGAGGACAAGAAGCTGACCCGGTTCCTTCACTTCCTAGCTAGCGGCACACAGCACCCCCCTCCCCCCCCCTTCCCCCCTGCGACACCTACACCATCCTCACCGGTAGCGCTCCTGCCCCGCCGTATCCCAAATCTGCGCCTTGATGGTCTTCCCCTCCGTCTGAATGCTCTTGGTGGCGAACTCGACCCCGATCGTGGACTTGCTCTCCAGGTTGAACTCGTTGCGGGTAAATCGCGAGAGGAGGTTGGACTTCCCGACGCCCGAGTCCCCGATCAGAACAACTGCGGAGGGGAGTTGCACGTGTGTCCGGCGGGTTTTTTGTTGCGCAACGAAAAGCAGGACGGCAAAAGGAGCGCAACACATTGATCAGACCAACACAACGGCGGTTGTACACCATAACTGGATAATAGGTGTGCAGAATTGCAGGGTATGCGTCTACGTACATCGAGCAACGCAAGCATCAAGTAGGACAGACAGAATGCTAGCACGTACATATGCATACATTTGTACAGATCACGCACGACACTCAGTGGGCTGCTGGTGCAGAGCTGGCATGGGGAAAGCGTTCGTTGGTGCCCAACTCCACATAGTACTGCTGCTGGGCTCTGTTCCGTCTGCATTATCGTTGCCCACCCCTGCGGATATTGTATTGTACGCAGTGAGTACCAGCGATTTTTGAAGTGTGGGCAGTAGGAACCAGCGACTTTGTTACGACTAATAGTGTAGCATATATTGTACCCGCACCGACCGTGCATGGCTTCACACCGGAAGCCGCAGCTGCGAGTGAGCTTCACGCAAGACGTGATCCACGCTAGTAGGTGTGACGATGCGCAAGGGCTACAAATGTAGTCGGCAAGCAAAAGTCGTGGTAAGAGTGTCTACTCGGCTTGATGTGAGGAACCACCCCCAGTCTCAACAGAAAAGTTTCGTTTTGACAAACACTTCCGTTTTGAAAAAGATACCAAACAAACAGACACCCCGTAGACTATGTTACTAGGGCCGAGGTGGGCCACGCGCCAAAGGGAAAAAGCAGACGCTGCCAACTCCCGCCCCAGCCTGCTTCTTTCTTCGCGGGCGATTGCCCTGCTGGGAAACAACCGCACAGCGCTGCTGTCTCTTCTCCTGGCTCGTCTCAAGAATAACGCTGGCGTGTGCGGCATCTCTGTTGCGCCACAAACGAGCCGCTGTTCCTCGCTACTCCGTTGCTCTTCTCTCATTTTCGACGACACCAGAAAATCAAAATCGAAAAAGAACAACTTTTGCGGAACTCTTCTGATCTCTCCTCACAGAGCAAGGGATCTGGAGTGGCGCAACCACGTCCTGCCCTCGAGGCATCTACTGCCGCTGCCCACCCGACCACAGGGCAGAAAATCGGAATCCTCAAAGCGGCGGGCAAAACCTGTCGAAAACACCTACTCGTAGAAGGGCGAGACCGAGGTCGTCGCGGTGCCACCAGGTTCTCGTGTTGGACACAAGATGCAAGAGAAGCAGGCTCACCCTTGAAGAGGTAGTCATACTCATCCTCCTTTCCGGCCATAGCTTTGGGTGTTCCGTTCCGCGTCTTAGCTTGCTCTCCGGCGTGTCGTGTTGCGCCGGTGTGCTCGTAAGCCGGCCGTGTTCCGCAGCGGCCCGCGGGCGTGGTGCCTTCCCCCTCCCCCCGAGATACCACCATTTTTTCTCGTGACAACTATTACCATACCTATGTTCCAATTTTGGATATCATCTGTGTGCTCCCCACGGTTGCTGCTTCGGGCGCTGTGCAACAGCAGCAGCGAGCCGTGTGTACAGTGTATAGTGTCGGCATCAAGCAAGATGGCGCCGGCACGAGGTAGAGGAAAAGGAGACTGGAAGAGAAATGGAGGAGGAGGAGGGGGGGGGGGAGGGGGAGGGAAAGGTTCACGCTACCAGCGGCAGCAGAGCAAAGGAGGAGGAGGATCGGGCGGCAAAAGAAGCTACGCGGACTCGAGCCAGGCGGCAAGGCTCAGCGGCGGCGGCAGGAAGGAGAGCGCGGTGAAGGCCGCCCTCCGAGAGCAGGGGGATGCGTTGGACAAGAGATTCGGGTGCGTGGCAGTAGCTTCGCAGAAGAAGCGCAAGATAGATGCAACTCCTATCGTTCGAGTGTTTGTAGTCCTGCTCCGGCTATTTTCAGAAGTACCCTGCCGCGCGTTTTCAAAAGTTTGAATTTCCTATTGTCTCCCAGAGAGGGAGGGGCCCTCTGTGACATCTCCTGTGGCATCTTTTATGTACCTACCTGATATGTGCACCATCATGGGGCATGTCCACACACCACTGGCGAAGTACGCCCTGTAAGCAAACTTTGTGTGTGTGTGTGAGTCCTCAACCGGCAGCAGAAGTACCTCGTGAACACGCCGCACTGTAGGACATTCTGTCTACTTTCCCTCCCAAGAGGCAAATCACCCTACTATTATAGTACAACCGCGTACGCTGCACTTCAGTAGTGTAGACTTGACTTGACTTGACGGGAGTGGGTCCTGGGCCTACAGAGTATTGCAGACCAAAAGACAAGACAGACAACATGTATGCACAGCAGTGCATAGGTGCAAAGAACTCCGCGGGTGGACCAACACTAACAGTATATAGTGTCGCTTTTCCAGCTACACGCGAGCAAACACCGCCGCTTCCGCCTTCGCTGTTGCTGTTTATAGACGCGAGAGGCAGACACAAACAACAGACAACAGCGTCCATTCCTTAAACTCATACGGCATTGCCTTCCCTCTACAGATGCACATTGTTGCTGGAGAAGACATGATCTATGACATGTTATTACTGTTGTCGGTGCTGCTGCAGCTTGTGGGGCCGCCACGCGCCTGCCCATGGTGGGTGCCTCTCGCACCCGCTCATTCGAATTGTGGGAGAAGTGATTTTGACGCCTTGGTTGTTGTCATTGTTGTGGTCGTTGTCTTCACACCGATAACGTCGCCACCTTTATCCAGGACCTCCTCTTTCCTACCATACTCTTCAGAGGTACAGGACGTAAACGAGCTTCGGTGGGTACAAGCGTGGAACAACGATGCAACCATTTCGTAATCTAAGGCCAAGAGACCTCGCCTGTAACGACATGTTTCAATCGCACCACGAGGCTCTCATTCCGTTCGACACACACACGTCAGCAGCATACGAAAACCCAACCCGTGGCTGCTTTTTCCAGCTTTTTTGTCGACCTTAAAATCAGGGCACAAACACACACACACACACACACTGTGCATTAACCACTCTTTTTGTGGCCTTTTTCAACGGTACATCCAGGTACGATCGGTACTCAGAGGGCCCGCCGAGACTAGGGTGGATCTTCAACATGCTGCCGACGTCCATTCCTGACGCCTCCGGCAACGAGAAGAGCGGGCTGGACATGTACTTTCTGGAGCAAGATGGCGGCACCTTCAAGGCTACGGTACGTACGTGCCGCGACAGGCGCGAAACCACGTGGTATATGTCGCCGCATCTTCTCTCTTTGAGAAACCGGCCGGTGACGCAGAGTTTTTTTTTTATTGTGCGTGACATAGCAATAGCCCGGAGGTCTTCCATTGCTGGTGGCGTTCCTGTGCTAGAAAACAAATGAGTCGATGATAATCTGAAGTGTATCCCCTCGGTTTTTGCGTCAACCGTCTGTTTGGCTTTTGCAGGCGTTTGAGACTGAGGCTGTTGTAGGTTGAACTCAACTCATGTGAAGAATTGGTAGACGGTTTCAACTCCCTTCTGTGTTATTCTTCTCCGGGGCGCTCCGCCACGTATCTGCGGGTCCTTTCATAGGTTCTGGTGTAACTATTTCCTCCGTCGAATCCGTGTGACGAGTTTTAAGTCGTTGCGCTCAAGCTGTCGGCTTTGGACACACATGCTAGCGATGGAGGCGAGGCTCTCAGCACCCATGCGCATACCAAGCTATCTCGTCCAACGGCACCGAACCTCTTTTCTCGAACCTCCCGAATGATAACCTCTCGCACTTCATGTTTGCCCTCTGGCGTCGTTCTTTTTTGTTTTCGGCCAAGGTTTTCTACAAGCCGTACTTTTACGTGTTGGTGAAGGAGGAGCGGTACATCCAGGACTGCATCCAGTGCATACGGCGGCGGTTCGAGGACTCAGCGGTGGAGGTTACGGTGGTGGACAAGGAGGACCTCGACATGCCCAACCACCTCTCGGGAAAGCTGAGAAGGTACGGGTTTGTAGCTGTCGCGATAGCGGTGGTGGGAGGTTGTTGTTTGGGGTGTGGCTTGCGCATTTTCTCGGGGAGTGCTGTCACCAGGGGTATGCTGCGAAGATCACTACGCTGGTGGTGGTGGTGGCTTGTAGTTGTTATTGCTGTTTTTGTTGCTGTTCTTGCTGCTGCTGTTGGTGGCTTCTTGTTGTTGTTGCTGCTGTTGTTGTTACTGCTATTCCGGTTGCCTTTGTTGCTGGAGAGTGTTCTTATTGACGAGGACGGTTAAGCCGCGGATGGGTGGCCACGTCGATCCCCCCGCCCCACCCACCCATCCTCAAATACACGGCTCGTCCAGGTTCCTCAAGCTAAGCTTCCACAGCGTGGCGGACCTGATGGAGGTGAAGCGGGCCCTGATGCCGACGATCCAGGCCAACAAGACCAGGGCCGAGGCGCAGGACGCCTACATGCACGCCGAGGCGCGGGAGCAGCAGCCGAGCGACTTCCTGTCGGTGCTGGTGGACGCGAGGGAGTACGATGTGCCGTACTACGTGCGGTGCTCCATTGACCTGGACATCAGGTGCGTGAGCGTCGCGCGCGCGGGTGTTGTCGGAACATGCTTCGTGGCTTCACTGTGCCCCAACATGCTCTCATGCGGTTATTGTAGTGTGCTGGGCTTGCCGCGCGCGCGCGGGCGGGGGCGCTCTTTTGGCTCTGCCCGGCAGGCTCCCTCGGGTTTTTCGGTTGGTGATGGTGTGGTCCAACAGGCTCTCTTGCGGTTCATATAGTATGGTGTGCGTGCCCCCCGCCCGCGCGGGGGAGGGGGGGGGGGGGTAGTTTGTGCCCAGCAGGCTCTGTCGGTTGGTGATGGTGGCGGCGTTGCCCAAGGCCCTACCGTCTGTTGGCGTGTGCGCCGCGGCGAGTATTGACTGGCATGACTGCTCTGCTGCTCAGTAGCTGGTTGTTGCCGGGAGACGGTGAGCGTTGGGGTGGGGGGGCGGCGGGGGTTTGCTCTCGGCCTGATGGTCGCAACCTATGTTGGCCCTACTGACAAATGCTCTGTGGTTGGACGTTGTTGCCTGGCATTGGCAGTCACTGCAGCTGGAGGCCGATGACGGGCGACGATTTAAGTTGTTGGCCATCCCGTGCTTGAGCAGCCCCACGAGGCACCCTCACAATGCTGAATCCGCTCCGCAGAGGTATAAAGTCGCCGTCACCGTACCCACAAGTGCAAGTGCAAGCCGTACCAGTTCTGGATGCGGTCCTGATCTCTTGACAATAGCGAGAAAAACAACTGATGATGCCGATGCAGATTCTCCTGGGGTCGCAGCAAGTATACGATGTTGCCGCAGGAGATATCCTTGCTTCTTTTGACCCAACGCCCATCTCTCCGCCGTTTCGTCTTCTGATTTTAGATCTGGATCCTCATCCCCCTCCCCCCCCCCCCCCCCCCCGCGTATACACTATCGAACGAACGCCTCGCAGAGTGGGAGCATGGTACATGGTCACGCCGCAGGAGGAGGGGGTGGATGTGGCTTGGCAGAAAGAGATGGTGGACAAAGCCGAGCCTAAGGTAGGAACGCAGAGGTATCAACGGCGTGTGACGACGATAGTACTCCTTGGGCACCGCGCGCTGTCGAGTTCCGTATGATTGTGGGGGGTATGTTGATGGCATTGTTCCTTTCCGCGTGTGGCATGCAGAGAGTGTTGGTCAGTGGGTCGGGTTGGAGGTGCTACGGAAGCATGACGACGCGGGAGGTATGGTAGCTGCCGGCGCTTGTTGTTATTGCTGTTGTTATTGTTGTTTTTGTTTACCCCCCTGTCATTCAATGCAATCTGCACCATGACCGCGAAAGAGACGCTTCCTGGAATCGCGCAACACGACAACCTTCTGTGCCCAGCGTGGGCGTGTAGACTGACATGTTGCTACACTTACTATCCTCTCCTATGTGCAGCTCGATTCATTGCCGGCAAGCGGCCTTGCAACCACCCCTCCCTCCGGTTGACCCTGTCTTTGCTGCCCCCCCCCCTGTTTACGGCTGTGCGTGCATCCTATGTCCTATGGTCCCTCCCCGCTCCAAGGTTCTCGCGTACGATATCGAGTGTACAAAGGCTCCGCTCAAGTTTCCCAACGTGGAAATAGACCAGGTATGCGGTATGTGGCAAGAAACGGGGGATAAGAGACGGGGTTGCTGGCACGGCCGGCCAGCGAACCCGGATGTAGGTGCGGTAGAAAAAGGTGGCATGTCGGGACGGGATTGGAGCACAATCGAAGGAGGGAATGATGATAGCCCACGCGGCCCCCTCCCCGCCTGGTGTGCGGTGTTGGTTGTGCCGTGCGTGTTTGGTTCCGCAAGTGGGACGTCTCGTGGGCTGTTTGGCTCATCCATCGCTGACCTTGACGGAATCGATTAACAACAAGCAAGAGCGTCCACAGGGCCAACGCTTAGGCCTTGGCTTACGCCTGCAGGACGGCACACAACTCTTCCGCAAAAAACTCCCTCCACTTTTTTCTGCTCGTCCTTTCGCCGTTCGTCTCTCGCTCAGGTTTTCATGATCTCGTACATGGTGGACGGGCAGGGGTACCTCATCATCAGCCGGGAGGTGGTTAGCGAGGATGTGGAGGTATGTGTATGTGCACGGAAGGGACGGGGGTTTCAGTGCAAGGACGAGGGGGGTGAGGGTCGGGAGAGAGAACCCAGAGAGAGAGAGAGAGAGAGGGAGAGAGAGAGAGAGAGAGAGAGAGAGAGAGAGAGAGAGAGAGAGAGAAAGAACCGAGAGAGAGAGAGAGAGAGAGAGACAGAGAGAGAGAGAGAGAGAGAGAGAGAGAGAGTCAGAGAGAGAGAGAGAGAGAGGGAACGGTATGGGTGACGGGTGGACGGAGAAAGAGCTTGATGGGGGGGGGGAGCAGTCGCCTAGAAGAATAGACCAGGGTTCGCCGGGTGGGGTGGGGTGGAGTGGCTGACGATGGTCTCTTGGAACAATCGCCGATTTCCAACGCGGACTGCCACCCGAACACAAGCCTCGTATTGCGTTGGCCTTGCATACTCGTGCGGATTCCAGTATTGGTTTGTGTTTTTCTCTCTCTCTTCGGCGATTCTGCGTTTTGGTTGTGTGTTTGGTCGCTTGCTCCTCACAGAGGCATCTGCTCCGCGATTTGTAGGCCAATATGTGTCTTCAACTTGTCTCTTGGCGTGTTTCTTGCTGTTTCTCGGCTGCCCCCTCCATTTGATTCCACCTGGCACAACAACACACGCAACGACTATCTACCACGACATCACATCAGAACTTCGAGTACACCCCGAAGCCGTCGTTCCCGGGACCGTTCCACATCTTCAACGAGCCCAACGAGGAGGCGGTGATCCGAAGGTTCTTCAAGCACGTGGCGGAGCTCCGCCCGCAGATCATCGTCACCTACAACGGGGACTTCTTCGACTGGCCCTTCGTTGACGAGAGGGCCAAGGTGAGGACGGGGGGTGTACTATTCATGACCGTGCATGCCGTAGTCGTTAGATCATGGACCTCGCATCCCTGCCAAGCGGGGACGGAGCACGCCGGGTTCTCACCGGACCAGGCTCTCGCAATCACCAAGCACGAATCGCCGTGAGGTATTCGGCGAGTCGTATGGAGGGTGCGCTGCATCCTGCTAGTGGTGTTCGGCATCTTGCACATTCTTGCTTGAATACGGGTCGGAGGGGGGGGGGGGGTGTAACGGGGTTTCAGCAAATCTTCTTCGACGAGAGGACCAAGGCACATATGGTGTATGACGGTGGGGGGGGAAAGGGCTGGTGAGAGATTGGAATAATGGGGTGTAGACGCGATGGGACGGGTTGTTTGGTTTGGTTTGGTTTCTCGGTTTTGGGGTGCAGTGTGGTGTGCTGCCGTCTCTCTTTTTTAGTGATTCGTGTGTACGGAGACTCTCGCCGGCCGGACGAAAACACAGAGGGCGTTTCGTTCTAGACCCCGACAGCAGCGCATTCAGATCGATCAAGGATGCCATAATGGACTGGCGGGCCACTGTGTCGTATGTATGTGTGCGTGTCTTTAATGTTTGCATCGACCGCGCTAACCGGCCGACCAATGAAAACTCGTCAGTGTCAGTGGAACTCGAAACGGAAACACGCTTCTAAAGGTCATGACCGTGTGTGTTGGTCGTTGCATCCACCGCGCTACCCGGCTTTGTGTGGTTGAAATGTGTGGCGTTGTTTTTGTGCGGTTGGGCGGGATGTGTCCATTTCGACTGGGCTGATGCTGCCACGGCCTTGTGTGCTTCGTTTGGTCAGGGCTACGGATTGGACATGGAGAAGGAGATCGGCGTGGGGCTGCAGGCCAACGGGGAGTACCGCGGCCGCTGCGTGGCGCACATGGATGCCATCTACTGGGTGAAGCGGTGAGGGGAAGGGAGGGATAGCGATAGGAGGGGGGCGGGGGAAGACCAAAGTAGAGTTAACGAGGAGGTGGCGGGGGCTATTGAGACCGAAGAGCCGAAATCAAAGCGTTAGCCTCGTCAGAGGTAAGGAGGAGGTGGTAGGCTAGTGAGGCCGACAGCCAAACTCAAGCCATGGAGCTAGTCAGCGTGAACAAGTCTGTTTGTTGGATTTCGGCTTCTATTGCAGTGTCTGCGATCAATCGTTCCCCGAGAATGTCATGCCCCGGATCGTTCCGCTACCCCACTCCCCCCAATCCTTGCGGAGGTCGACCACTTGAAGCATCCTGATGTTGTTGTCCACGGTAACGCACGCCTTTTTCTAGTGTAGTGGTGCTTGTTTTGAAGGCAGCCAGTCCGATGTGGCTGCGGTTTTTTGGGGGTGCCGATGGCGGAACGTCTGCTTCTTTTGTTTGTGGGCAGTTGGGGCAGGTCGAAGAGTCGAAGGCGGTCCCTATTCGGAGAAACGGTTGCAAACGAGAAGTGCGGGCAATCTACGGTATGCATGCACGCGCATCCACCCGTTTCGAGGAAGAAGCACATGCATACATGCGCCCACGACATGCTTGGTCGGCCACCAACACGGGTTCTTGCTGTTGTTGTCGTTATTATCGTCGTCGTTGTATTGTTGTTGTTGTTGTTGCCGCTGCTGATACTGCCGCTGCTGTGTTGCGTGTCGTGTTTCCCCCTCCGTGCACTGCTGGCCGTCCCGACACCCCGGACGAGTCACAGGGACTCTTACCTGCCACAAGGCTCTCACGGTCTCAAGGCCGTCACCAAGTATAAACTAGGTAGGCTGTTGTTGTTGTTGTTGTTGTTGTTGTTGTCATCTTGGTCGATGATGTTGTTCTACTGTGTTCTGCGGCGAGAAAGGCCCCAAGCCTTCCCTCCCCCATACCTCCCCCTGTTTCCAAACCCGCGATCCCGTACGGGTGGAGCAGGGTTGTGCGATCAACCCCCCCCTGTCCATAGCAGAACGCTCCTCCCTCTCCTTAAGGTCCCCCGAAAAGTAGCTGCGTTCCAATGGAGGCTGCCTCACAAGACACGCTGTACAATATCACTTGCGAGGGGATAAACGATAGCCCTCCATAACCTCCGCGTCTCTCCCCCCCCCCCCCCATCCTCTGGTTCATTCTTGTGAAACGTAGCCTGGGCCGGCGAACACCGGGCATATCGCTCCGTCCCTGTGATGCGAGGTCAATGGTCTAACGACTTACGACATGCGTTTACATAGGTACCCTCCCCCCCTCCCCACTTGTCGGACCGCCTTACTAAATAGGGTACGACCCCGTGGAGGTGGACCCGGAGGACATGGTGAGGTACGCGTCGGAGAGGCCTACGGAGATGGCGGCCTACTCCGTCTCCGACGCCGTGGCCACCTACTACCTCTACCAGACCTACGTGCACATGTTCGTCTTCAGCCTGTGCACCATCATCCCGATGGGGCCGGACGATGTGCTGCGGAAGGTACGAAACGTCGCGTTGTATGGTTTTGGGGGAGGCGTGTGCTGAGAGGGAGGTGGGTGCGGGAGAGATTCGAGGTTTGCCACAAAACCTGTCGGTGGTTGCGGCGGCTGTGGCGATGGTGGTTGTTCTTGTGAGGGTTTCGCATTCTTGTCCTAACATGAGGAATCCCGGTCATGCTGAATTTGCTGGGTTGACGGTGTCATTGTTGGCGGTGGTGGAGATGGTGTTGTTGTGGGGCGCTTGTACAGAGTCCTGTCGTTTTTTCCGCAGTCTGTCCAAACATGAAGGATTCCCGACAAGCTGAACTGTAACCCTCTCACTACTTGCTGGCTTCCCCGCTCGAACGGCGTACTTAACCCCTACCCCCCCCGCCGGCCTCCCTTGGGCCTCGTACTCACCTCCACCGTCATGTACGTGTGCAGGGATCCGGAACGCTTTGCGAGGCGCTTTTGATGGTGGAGGCCTACCGGGGAAACATCGTGTGTCCGAACAAGCACGTGAGGGGCGCTGGCTTGCCGTGCGTTTTCACCGCCGCCACTATTGCATGTCCTACGACCCCCCCGCCCATGTGCTCGGAGATGCTTGACGCTACACTTCGAATTATGCGCGTGTGTCTCGAGTTTTGCCCCGTCGTTCCAGGCGGTCGCCCGCCATCTCTGTCTTACCGACTCACCCACCCACTCTTGCTTCACGCGTGGGTTTTGCGCTCTCGCTTTCTCGCGTGTGTCGTTTGCGCTTGCTGCGTTGCATGCATCTAGTCAATTTTGTTTGTTTTTCGACGGGTGTCTGTTGCTGTGGTACGTTTTGGATGCTTTGCGGTTTTTGCTCCCCCCCTCGTAAGCGATGTTTGCTTCTCCCAGGTGTTTTTTCTGGTTCGTGTGTGTTTGTGCGTCTCCTACGACGCTCACACTGAAGTTTTCGCCTCCGTTCGCCCGCCCCCGCCCGCCGGAGGTTTCCAGATCCAAAGAAATATTGATCCGTCGTTGTCCCTACTTTTTGCCGCGTTGTCGATCAGTCGGACCTTCGGCTTTCGTTTGACGGTCTCTCGTTTGTCATCAACCGCTACTGTACTACATTCGTGCTGTGCTGTTGTTTCCTCAGTCCGAGCCTTTGACGAAGTTCCACGACGGCCACCTGGTTGAGTCGGAGACGTACATCGGGGGCCACGTGGAATGCCTAGAGGTAAGAGGGGGAGGGGGGCAGAGAGGTTTGGTTTTCTTGGGGGGGTTGTATCGCAAGTTATGTTGAAACCGTCAGATATGAGGAGTTATTTGTCAGGAATGCGCAAAGAATGAGATTTAATCGGGGGCCCCTCAGATTGTCTCGACTCGCGAGAAATGGCAGAACTACAGCATTAGTGTGCGTTTGTGTCGCGCAAGTACACAATAGTCTTGTTGTTTGGAATTTGGGGATGTCGGAGGCAACACAGAGAGTCACGAGCGACATGTCGACGAGACGAGACAGCCTACAACGCTAGCATGAAGAACAGCCTCTCTCAAGCTTTGGAGCGCTGTAGATTACACATACGCCACTACCGAGTTTCTGTCTACTCAGCGTACAACCATGACGCCCCACACCGACCGCCACGGTCCTTTCGTGTCATTGTCCTATCCCCGACGCTTTTACACGTGATGCGTCTTCTCGTTGAACGTGTTTTGAGTGATGGTTGCCGCGGTGTTGCGATTGCTGTCCTGTTCCCCACGATTTTATCCAGACGGGAGTCTTCAGGAGCGATCTCCCGGAGAAGTTCAGGCTGGTGCCGAGCGCGCTTCAGGCGCTGATCGACAACGTCGACCGAGACCTGACGTTCGCCATCGAGGTCGAGAGCGGGGTACAGCGCGACACTGTCAGCAACTACGACGAGGTGACACCATAGTTTTGCGGTTGTTATCGTTAGACGTTTGTTCCTCGTAATTGCTGGCGGTGGTGGTGGCGTATTGGTTTGACCCAGGTTGATGGCACTGCTGTTATTTTGCTTCGGCGGCGTTTCCTCTTCAGCAGCAGCAGTAGCAGCAGCAGGAGGAGCAGCAGCAGCCGCAGCAGCAGCCGCAGTAGCGAGGCTTGCCCTCTACAGGCACCCCGGTACTGCGAGCGCGTTCGCCACAAACTGGGTTGCGTCTCGCGGTGGTCGTCACCTTCGTTCATTCGAGACAATGTCCAGAGGAGGGTGCAGGGTGAAACCTTTAACCTTTGTCGTCCTCGTTCACTCCACCGGACGGGACTTACGTACGTACTCGTCTGTTGCCACAGGTGCGCAGCGAGATCATCGAGCAGCTAGAGATGCTGAGAGACAGCCCTCTCCGCGAGGAGGAGCCGTTCATCTACCACCTCGACGTAGCCGCCATGTACCCCAACATCATCCTCTCCAACCGGCTGCAGGTTTGTCGTCCTTGTGGCCGTCGCGGTAGTCGTGGTGGTAGTGTTGGGATTTCGTTTGAGCGACGGCGGTGGTGTGGGTCGGCTGATCTATGTTGCTTCGTCCTCTCGGAAGGGGATGTGTGTCGTATTTTCATTTTTTCCGGCTGTGAAGAAGTCCCCATCGCCTCTCCGTCGCTCAGTAGCCTAGGCAGGTTTATCGAAGTAAGCAAACGTACTGGATAAAGTACAGAATCGGCTAAGTTAGGGGTAGGGTCTGCGTGCCCCCTCCTGGTAATTTTTCGTAATAAACTTACTTCCGTTGCGTAGGCAGTCCCCGCGCTGGAATATTACTGATGTGTTCCAATGGAGTGCACCGTACCGTGGCTACCTTACCCGTGTTGTGTTGCCGCCTCTCTTTGCTGCGGAAGTGCCAGGCACCAGTTTGTATGCGCTTCGTTCGTGAACCTGCTCTCTGGCTCTCCCGCTCCGCCGTGCTCAATGCCTGTGTTCATGCTTCGTTCGCAAGCCTGCTCCCACCTTATCCCCCGCCCCCCGACTTGCCCGATTTTCTG